AGTTGCCAGTAGTTTAGCAGGTAGAGATAGCTCCCTGTGAGACCTTCGCCTGCCGAGGACTAAGTGTTAATAAGCCCAGTGTTCCACAGACTCAATGTAGGCAATCACAGCAGCTGTGAGTTCGTGTGAGAAAGGGATTGTAAAGACGGGAGAAGATGACAGGGGCGGGGAGCAGCAAGCAGGGGTAGAGAGTAATCAGAACGCACTGTATGCATATACAATCCTGTCAAAGAACAAATTTAATTGGAAAAAGAAGATGAAAACCATGGCAATTTCTGATTTGCTTCTATTGATTAGAATGTTTGGTAGGGATGTTACTTCCCAAGTTAAGTTCCTAAAAGATGGCAGCTTACATCAGAGATAGATGCCACTGTGAGACGCCTTATGAAAATATCCATATAACAAACCGTTGCCATCTCTGGCCAATAGCAGTATGCAGAGGAAGGGCATCCATTTTCTATGTGGGCAGATACAGTCCTGTAATGTTTTCAAACCTGCTGGTTTCTCCATGAGAGCTGATGGAGACTGACTGAGACATACCAAGATGCCTCATGCACAGAAATTATGATGACATGAATGTTTGATATTAAGGACTATGCTTTGAGTAATTAATTACACATTTGGAAAAGGCTATGGTAGAACCTTAGTAGTCAGTAGTACCTTGAAGGTGTTTAACCTTCAAAATTAATTAACTAGAGTACTATCTTTTTCACATGTTAGTGTTTTGTTTCTTTGATTTATCTCCTGTTATTTTTGCCATTAACTCATAGATGTTATTCATTCTAATTTTCAAGTGTCGTTTATATGTAAACATTCCCCTTCTTCCCATGTCATTCACATACGGTCAATATTCCCCCACATTATTGTTTCTCCTCTCATCATACTTATGGTAGCTATAACTTTAAAAACTAGATGAAATTTTCATTTTTCTTTTTTGGTAGAAGCATCATTTGTGTATGTAGCATGTAACAATGCTACAATTAGTAATTAATATTCTTTATTGGTGTTATGTCCTGTCACTTAATCTATTAGTTTTAATAGTTTAACTACAAACATCGTGGTTGTTCTGCTAAATAATCATATACTTTTCTGATCAGGATGGATTTGTGTCCTTCTTGAGAGTTACAAAATTTATATCTGCTTTTGGCTTATATTTTAGACAAGAACTTTCAGCTTTCATTCCTTTATAAAACAGTTACTTTTTTTTTTTTGAGGTTACATCCGATATCAACAACCTGCTCAGTCTGTATAATGTTACTTGTATGTACATGGTATGAGGGGTATTTGGTACTGGACAACGAGTTGGTATGGACTTCCCTGGGTAAGACAATTTCTCCTGCTTTCAGCATTCCCTAGTTGCCTCTAGATCTTTGTGTAGGGTTGAGGCTTCTGGGCTTTTCTTCACTTCACAGCAGCATTTCTATCATTGCCTTTATTCATCAGCTTTCATTTCTTAATTTATGACATAGTAGCTCTCCTTTAAGTGAAATTAAGCACATAATCTTCTCTGACAAAGAATTATAAGACAATATTTTTATATTAGGTAATAGTTTTCTACCCACTTAGTGTTTTTCCAATTTTTTTCCATATTGAGTTTGGTAAAATACCTCTGTGTACCTCGGCTCTGTCTTTGTGAAGTACAGTGTGATGTCTACCATGACAAACATATTGGTGAAATTATTAAGTCCACTCCATGTAGTTAAAAGGAAGATTTATTAGTGGGTAACTTACAAATGAAGGGATAGGCAGGTTGCGGGGTCTGGGGAAGGTGTATCGCAATCCAGCAGTGTTCTCTGGAGCTCTGCTTGGTCAACCTCCACCATCCAGGGTCCAGGAACAGAGAGCAAGCTGGCCCATCCAGACCTCGAGTCTCCAGGGTCCTCCCTTGGCCCCACCTTGTAAGCATGACAGTTGCCGAAGCCTCAATGGGGGTTGGAACTTCCAGATCAAAGCTGGAATGGCTACCCACTACACAAGCACCCTGCATTGTGGTTGGGCCTGTCTTCTCTGGACACATGTTTTTGTCATTATAATGTTTAATGCCACCTCTGTTCTTTCTGAAGAAGAGGGAATATAACATTGTTTTGTGTGAGCATACACTCATTCTTAAACCATAACTAAAATTTGCATGGTTGGATTTACATACTATTTAGCAGACTAAGAAGCCTTTTACCTCGTCCCAAGGGTGAAAAACTGAGGCATCAACATACCTGGCAAGCGCCATCTATGCTCTGTGTACGTTTGATTGAATGGTGCCCAGTGGTGGTATGATCATTTCTGCCTACATCATCCTAGACTCCTGCACCATCACACAGTATCTTTGAGAGCAGCTAGTTGTCAAGCTGCTTTAGTAACTTAACCTCATATCTGTGAGTATTCTTCTTCTAGCTATACCCCCTTCACCCCATCTCCTTTTAGGGATCTACTAAGTTCATTTCATGCCCACTCCCCTCTCTTCCTCAGAAAATTATTTCCTATGATGATTATCTAGTGAATACCTTTATAGAGTTTAAATTAACAACAGAAAAAGTCTATCTACTCTTTTGGCGATTATAATAAAGCAATACCTTGAAAATGAAGAGGAATATGAATTCTGGCCACAAGCCACGTAGCTAAAACTTTTAAACACACTGACTGTTTTAAATATACTAATCATATCTTCGTGTCAATGAACTTGCAAAGCAAGGCCGAGTTCAAGGCATTAACCTGTAGATGATAGATCACACAATAACAAACTAATTCTATAGGCCTGTAGCACCCTCCCCCCCCACACACACACACAAAGAGAACAAGTTCTAACTTGTTCCTGTTTTTCCTTAAGAAATCTTGCTCACAACTTCTGGAGTATTAGAAACTCTATGCTTTCCCCCATTATCTGAATATTTCTCCCAAATCAAGAGCATAGTGTATTCATAAATATTTTAGACCCACAACTTAATGAAGTTTGCCTAGTGTGAATGATTTTTAAGTGTAAAAAAGCTAGACCTTTACCTAAATGAATATTGAAATGATAATTATGTTTGAATGTCTCACAAGCTACTGGCCTGGTAAGTTGTCCAGTTTACCAGGAGTAATTAATTATCCAGAAGCTAGTAGATCTGTAGTCATGAGTTCCAAACAGCTCACTCCCAAATATCCTTCAAGTCTTTATACTAAGGCTAATGCTGGAGCTATTCCCCAACCTTCTCACCTTAAATAGTAATGTACCAGGTCCTATCCTAAACCTCAAGTGTACATTCTTCTTCATTGTATTGCAGTTGCTAATGTCATTCATACTGCACATTTACTTCTTAATTTTTAATATTTATTTGTGTGTGAGAAAGAGAGGGGAGGGAAGGAGGGAGATAAAGAGGGTAGACGCATGTGTCATGGTATATATATATATGGAGGTCAGAGGACAACTTATAGGAGCTGGTTCTTTCCTTTTACTGTGTAGTTTCACTCTATGGATAGAATTCTGATGGCGGGCTTAGCAGCAAGCACCTTTACTTGCTGATCCATCTTGCCTTTGTAATTTATACTTTCTATCATAAGAATGCAAGATTCATAAGGGCATGTGTTGCTGGGTCCTAACGGCTCCCTCAGTGGAGGGTGGAGGAAGGCACAGCATCAACAGCACAGACACTAGGAGTCAGTTGAAGGCAAGCAACAAATTTATTTAATAACATGGGAGGGCTTATATACCCTCCTCCCACCACCCAGTCTGTGTCACAATCTGGTGGCATTGCATGGTGATCCCTCATTGGCTGAGCATGATCAGTACCTCTGACAGTGACCAGGAACTCTGACAGCTCCTGTTGTTGGGCCCTCAGGCAGACTCCAGGTTGACTCATAAGGAGTACAATATGTGCATGCCTTGGCTACTGGTCTGAGCCAATTTCCTCGATCCTATGGGTCTGTCCTACTGCAGGTATGGACTTTGTTTTTTTCACCACTGTATTCCTAGCTCCTGACCACTGTCTGGAACATTATAGAGACCCCTGGAAACACACTGGCTGTATGCATTAAATAAATTGTGAAAATATGGAGCAAATGACTAAATAAGAATGGTTAATTCTTAACAAACGTGTATGGCCTTTGTAAAACAAATTTTGAACAAATACATATGGAATCTGTTAATGAAAGTGGAAGCATGTCTGTTGTGTTTACAGTATATCATGTTATGCATTTATGTAAGGACAGTAAGTATTGTCTGATGTAAACTTGGATTTTGATAAAGGTTAAAAATAAATTGACATGTGTGAGTTATGCTTGTTTAACACACATTATGAAAAATTCAGTCTCACTTTTAGAATGCCAATTATTCTGAGTTAACATGAGCATATGCTAAGGAGTGTTGCATTACTAGTTTTCTACATTACAATAGCTATTTTTTAAACTAAGAACAGTAAAATTGGTGCAATACAATTTTAACAGGGAAAAGAAAAAACAACTATAGCAAACTACTAAATATTCAAACTCTAATTAAAATCCATTTGTTATAAAATAGCAATGAATTTTAATTTAGGCAATAAAATTTCACATAATAATTGGTAAAATGTTTTTGCTCTCATTTTCTATAATCAAAGCAAGCCAGTTCTGTCACACAGAAATTATATTAAATTTCTAGGGTTTGTTGAGAGAAATAGAAGAAATATCAATATTTCCTCATTTTAATTAAAAAATGATGGGGCTGGATTTTGTATTCTGTCATTCATGGATCTCATTATTCATACTCCTCCAAATTATTTTTAATTCCACAGAAATATTTAGAAAGTGCTAATTTTAATTTCAGAGTACTTGGCAGATAGTTAATTCAACCCTTGTCTATTACCTAAGTTTTCACACTTAAAAATAACTTCTGTGTTGAATCAGAACATAAAATATCTTCAATTACAAAAAAAAAAAACAAAAAAAAAACTTTCTAATTGTACCAGTTAATATATGGCTGCTTACTTTATGCCTGGATTTTGGCAGATTCCAAATTCATGCTTATTGCAACCCAGAAGAGATGCCCCAGAAGAGATGGGGGTCACAGGAAATGTTTCTTCCCTGCAGCCCCTGGAAGACGTGCTAACGTGAAGCCCAGATACTGTGGATGTCTGACGCTCTGCTGCACAGCGTGAGCCCAGGCATGCTGGTTGGTATGGCAGCCCACAGTCGTGCACAAGTACTTACAGCCGCAGTGACATGGTGCTAAGCATGTTTTAAGACTAGTCCCAATCGAGCAGCATCTTATCCAACCAGAAACAATCCCACAATCCAGCTCTTTTTAAGTGATCATCCTTGTATCATAACAGATTAAGGCTGCAGCTACTTTGGATTATGTTTAATCTAACCTTTATCCATTCACATCTTCACCTGAAACTTACAAGGACCAAGAGTCAATTGCCGGGGCATAATTCACAATGACACTGATCTTTCCTTCCTCACTCTAATTATCTGGATTAAGAATAACACTTTTGAGTAATTATTTTCACATTGGATAAACATTAAGCTTTCCTGGATTTATCTGAGCTTTTTCCTAACATGAAATAGATCCAACCAGGCTTAGAAGAACATAACTGACAGCAGTGACAGCTTAATCAAGGCAACCCTAAACAACTAGAACAATAAGGAAATGTTTATTTCTCATTGTTTAGGAAAGTCAAGGTCTGGAAGTGAACAGGTTTTGTGGCACTAAGCCCCACACCTCTGCACAGCCAATTGCAGAGCTTGGAATTATTTTTTCTTTCTTTATAATCATTCAGTAATCCTCAAATCAAGTTCAGTCTCGGAACCACGGAGAACAGCATGGAATGATTGCATTGATGACATTAATTGGCTATACTGACACTACCCATGCACACTAAATGTTTTTATCTTCCTAATCTGTGTGATGGCCTAAAAAGAAAGAACACATTATATTAGAACCAATGCACTAAGATTATAATTACAGAGAATAAAACACTTGCTATGTCACTTCTGATCATCATCTTGATCACTCCATGCTGTCTATCCAAGATTGCACACACTCCCTAAAATTGCCATCACAAGCAAGCTAGAAAAATCTCCCAAGCTTGTCTTTGAAACTGCCCCAGATCATATACAGTTACTCACTAAAATCACATCACAAAAGCCAATTACACTCTGGCTTTGCAGATCCACAGATAACCTCTTAAAGAGCAAACTCCCTCACTGTGTCGACCTCTGACCCCAAGCTCTTTTTCCAATCTGTAGCAGCAGGGCTGCGTGTCTCTCAACACGTGAAGAGCCCAGACTTTGAAGTCAAAATGACATGCAGGACTTTTGAATGGTGCCTGGTGTTTAAAATTAAGCTTAATATTGCTAATATTTTGTTCTTGGCCTCTGGATATATATTGTGTGCAGCTGTGGAACTTACACTTAAAATATTTCAATGGAGAAATGCATTTTTTCCCTTTATCTGAATGGCTGGATGCAGGAAAACTGGCTATGTTTAAAAACCTAAGTACCTGATCATTTTAATTGAATTAAAAAATAGTGCTAAAAAAGGTAAGGGATTTCAAGCAAATCCCAAATAAACATTTTCAATGTGCAGAAAGATTGAGGTGACTCTTGGAGCAATGACCCTCACAAGTCCATGACTACGTGTCTATTAATGTGCATGCAAGTTAATCCTTGTACAAGTGATTCTCTTTAGGACACAGAAGACTCCTAATTTCATTCCATTTCCTTCATACATTTGAGAGAAGACATACAGCAGTTAGTGAAGTGAGAGCCTTTTAACAGAGATGAATGTGAATTCTAAATGTGCAAAAATTAGCCTGTTATGTTGGCTCTTTCTCAGACCTGGGGTCACCATATCTTTGCCTATCAGCTAACCGGTCTATGTCCTTGAGCATACTCACCTATCAGCAGCAATAAGTGAGTTCACAGCCCTTTTCAGAACCACGGTGGCATTTGGAGGTCATTTGCTTTAACATCCCAAGTCTTCTCTCTGTGGGGTATGTCAGTGACCATCCAATGCCCATGATAAGGCCTGTACAAAAGCAATAAGGCATGTCTAGGGAAGAGCACAGTCAAAAAAAAATAACTTAGTGTAGCCAAGCAAGGCTTACAGTGGTGGGGCTGGGTTGCATTCAGTTGAGTTGTTGACCATGAGAGACCCATGGAGATCCCTTAAGAACCCAGGCAGATGCTAGGACAGAAGGTAGCTCTCTGAAAACTGACAGCAGGACCCCAACACTGAGGATGTGAGGCCCCAGCCATACAGCTCATTGAACGTTGAGAGGTTGAGCTGGTACTGCATGGAGCCTTCACCATGTTCTAATCTTTTTGGCATGAGAAGGTATTCTGCAGGCTACGGAAAGAGAATCTTGGACACCAACCTAGCCATAAAACCCTTGGCCTACAATCTGTCCTGCTTGCAAGATGCTATGGGGCAATGGTGGCAGAGAACTTGTGAGAGTGGACAACTAATGTTTGGTTTAACTTAAGGTCCATGGTCATGAGAGGGAGCCCTTGCTCTACACTGCCTGGATTGCCAGGAACTGGATATTGGGTAGTCCAGAGACATAGGCTCAGTGCCTATGTCTAGTCATCATCAGAGAGGCTTCCTTCTTTAGGAGACAGAAGCAGGTAGAGAGTCCCACATCCAGACATTATACAAAGAGTCTAATTTGGAGGTCTCCTTCAGGTTCCTGGGGAGATTGGGGAACCCCCTGGAAGAAGAGGAGGAAAGATTGTAGGAGTCAGAAGATATGGGGAACACCAGGAGAACATGGCCCACTGAATCATCTAAGCTGGGCTCACATGGGCTCACAGAGACTGAAGCAGCAAGCATGGGTCTGCACCAGATCCTCTGTATATGTTATGGCTGTTAGCTTGGTACTTTTGTGGGACTCCTAACAGTGGAAACAGGTGTATCTCTGACTCTTTGCCTGGTCTTTTTTTTTTTTTTTGGCGTTTTTAAATTTTATAATTAATTTAATTTTACATATCAGCCACAGATTCCCCTGTCCTTCCTCCTTCCACCCTCCAGCCCTCCTCCCCCAATTCACCCCCCATTCCTACCTCCTCCAGGGCAAAGTCTCCCCTGGGGAGTCAGCCCAGCCTGGTAGGTTCAGGTGAGGCAGGTCCAGTCCCCTCCTCCCTTCACTTAGGCTGAGCAAAGTGTCCCAGCATAGGCCCTAGGTTCCAAAAAGCCAGCTCATGCAACAAGGGCAGGCCCTGGTCCCATTGCCTGGGGGCCTCCTAAACAGTTTATCAACTGTTTCACTTATCCAGAGGGCCTGGGCCAGTTCCATGGGGGCTCCTCAGTTATTGGTTCACAGTTCATGTGTTTCCACTAGTTTGGCTATTTGTCCCTGTGCTTTTTCTAATCATGGTCTTGATATCGCTTGCTCATATAATCCCTCCTCTCTCTCGCCAGTTGGACTCCTTGAGCTCTACCTGGGGCTTGGCCGTGGATCTCTGTATCTGTGTCCATCAGTCACTGGATGAGAGTTCTATCATGACAGCCAGAGTGTTTGGCCATCCGATTACCAGAGTAGGTTAGCTCGGGCTTTCTCTCGACTATTGCCAGTAGTCTACAGTAGAGGTATCTTTGTGGATTTCTGGAGACCCCTCTAGCACTCTGCTTCTTCCTATTCCCATGGGTTCTCACCTATCATGGTATCTCCTTCCTTGTTCTCCCACTCTGTTCCCTATCCATATATGACCTCCCGGTCCCCTAAGCTCTCTTTCCCCCAACCCTTGCCCTCCATTACCCCCATGCATGTCCAGTTTGCTCATGTAGATCTCATCCATTTCTCTGTCATTGGGTGATCCCTGTGTCTTTCTTAGGGACCTCTATACTAGGTAGCCTCCCTGGAGTTGTGAGTTGCAGTCTGGTTATCCTTTGCTTTACATCTAGTTTCAACTTATGAGTGAGTATATACCATATTTGTCTTTCTGAGTCTGGGTTACCTCACTCAGGATGATAATTTCTAGTTCCATCCATTTGCCTGCAAACCTCATGATGTCATTGTTTTTCTCTGCTGAGCAGTACTCCATTGTGTATATATACCACATTTTATTTATCCGTTCCTCAGTTGAAGGGCATCTAGGTTGTTTCCAGGCTCTGGCTATTACAAATAATGCTGCTATGAACATAGTTGAGCATGTGTCCTTGTGGTATGACTGAGCATTCCTTGGGTACATGCCCAAGAGTGGTATAGCTGGGTCTTGAGGAAGGTTGGTTTCCAATTTTCTAAGAAAGCGCCATATTGATTTTCAAAGTGGCTGTACAAGCTTGCATTCCCACCAACAGTGGAGGAGTGTTCCCTTTGGTCCGTATCCTCTCCAACATAGACTGTCATTAGTGTTTTTGATCTTAGCCATTCTGATGAGTGTAAGATGGTACCTCAAAGTCATTTTTGATTTGCATTTCCCTGATGATTAGGGATGTTGAGCAATTCCTTGAATGTCTTTCAGTTATTTGAGCGTCTTCTGTTGAGAATTCTCTGTTTAGCTCTATAGCCCATTTTCTTTCTTCCTATTGGGTTGCCTTGTTCAGCCTATATCTGAGGGCTTCTATCTTGTCTTGTTGTATCTTGTTTTGTCCTGCTTGGCTGTCATCTCCTGGAGGCCTGCTCTTTTATGAAGAGGAAACAGAGGAGGAGTGGATTTGATAGAGAAGGGAATTGGGTTGGAAGAAGTGGAGGGAGGGGAAACTGATTAGAATGTATTTGTGAGAGAATCTATTTTCAACAAAAAAGAAAAAGAAAATTTTTAAAAAGGAATGATTTTGCAATTATTTCAAGAGAAGTGTCTAGATTTGCACAGTAGAGGTGAACAAGATAAAAATGGTTTTACTACCTAAGTATACACAACTTTGGCAATGAGTTCTACCCTGAAGGCAGGAAGGAACAGACACCCTCTGTTTATAACCCCTCAGGGTCTAGAACAAGTCAGGCAAAGTATGTCTGAGACAGTGTCAGCAAGAACAAAATACTGAGAATTTTTTTTAAAAAAAAAAAGCTTCCATGAAGAAACAATATGATAGTATGCAAAGGGAAGTAAAGAATTAATATAACAAATATTAAATGATTTTTTGGTGATTACAATTGTGAGCAAGAACAAGCCTTCGAGTTCCTACTGGAACAATATTTTTTTTTTGAACCAAGAAATGGATGCCTTGACTTACGTTTTTGGTTTTGTTTATTTGCTTGTTTGTTTGTCCTGAGATTATATAATTAAATTAATTCTTCCTTTCCTTTCCTTCCTCCAAAACCCTCCCAGGTACCCTCACCTTTCTTTCCTTCAAATTCATGACCTACTTTTCTTTGATTGTTGTAATCTGGAATAAGACATCCACCATGCTTAGTATGGCTTTAGAGACTGACCTACCTGGGCCAAGCAGGGGATAAAAAGAAGACAGACACACAGACACAGACACACATACAGAAAAGCTTGGATTGGGTGGAATGTGCTCACTATAATGGAGAGCAGCAACTTCAGCCCAGAACATCAGTGCATTTGTTTTATACATATGAATGAAGGAGACGAGTTTTTTGTATACAGCTGAATCAGGAGGTATCTTTATGATAAACAGCCGATCAAGGGGGCAGGCTAATTTAACCTTGGTTGTTCTGTGTAGGTGAGGAGGCTCAGGCACAGTCGCCCCTGAAGAAGAAGCTGTGGTTGATGAGTCTGTACATGTTGTCAACATTTGCATTCAGACCAAAGGAAGGCTTCACCATCCCTCTGAGCCTCACCCTGGGGAGGTGTTTCTATTCCCATGGGGCTAAGGCACTGGGGTCCTTGGCATAGCTGTGCCCACGTCAACAGCACACATTCACTTAGGATTTTGTCTGCTCCTTACACATTGCTTCTCTCATAAATAGATCCTGACCACAGTTTCTCCCCCTTCCATTCCTTCCAGCCCCCCACCTCTCCTCTTTCCCAGATCCACTTCCCCACACACATCACTTTCATTTCAGAGATTTTTCCTTAAGTTAATTCACATGGATATTTATTCATCCGTGATGCTGGAGTCACTGTTTATTCTATTAGATTGGGAGATACATTGCTCATGCTTTAGCTGCCCCTTTGAAAAAAATAGCCAAATGAATGGAAGTCTAAAAGTATAAAACAATAACATGAATTAAAGTAAACTATAGTCGAAAGGGTGCCTGAGATGCCTTACTCTAGTGATCGGATGGCTGATACCCTAACTGTCATGATAGAACTCTCATCCAGTGACTGATGGAAGCAGGTGCAGATCCATGGCTAGGTCCCAGGCCAAACTCCAGGAGTCCAATCAATGAGAGAGAGGAAGGATTCTATGAGCAAGGAATGTTGAGACCATGACTGGAAAAAGTACAGAGCTAGTGGAAATGCATGAACCATGGACCAATAGCTAAGGAGCCTCCATGGTACTAGACTAGACCCTCTGGATAAGTGAGACATTAGTTTAGCTTAAAGTGTATAGAGGACCCCCAGGCAGTGGGATAAGGACATGTCCCTAGTGCATGAGCCGGCTTTTTGGAGCCTAGTGCCTATGGTGAGACACGTTGCACAGCCTTGGTGCAGGGAGGAGGGGCTTGGACCTGCCTCAGCTGAATGTACCAGGCTCTGCTGACTCCCCATGGGAGACCTTGCCTTGGAGGAGGTGGGAATGGGAGGGATATTGGGGGGGAAATCTGAGGAGCTAGAGGAGAGAAGACAGGGGAATCTGTGGTTGATATGTAAAAATGAATAAAATCTCTTAATAAAAAATAATAAATAAAGTAAGCTATAATTTATTATAACTACCAAGACCCAAATTATCATTTCTGTGGTTTACAGTTATTACAGATTCCCCAGTATCACTCTACGCCCCACACATAATGGCGAAAGAATGGAAATTTTTAGTAACATTGCATTTCTAAGTATCTGAAGAGGAAAGAGCAACATGGGGGAGTATACACACATACATTTTTTGAAACATGAAAAACGCCCAAATATATATTACCATGTCTGAAAACATTCTGACATTGAAAAATGTAATATAAAAGAAAATTTTTTCAAGAAAAAAAAAACATGAGGTGTTTGGTAGATGAAGGTGTGAGATCTGCTCAGTTGACTGTGCTTTGTAAACATTTACATTATCCCGAGGCAAGTCATACTTATGGACTTCCTGCACGCTGTGTAACGTTAGCCTGAGTTGTGTCAGCGTCATTCCTCATACAGATGTTGTGCAAGTGGTGTAAGGCATGTGTTCCTGACAACCTCGACAATTCCCTCTCAACAGTTCTTACAGAGAGGGCAGGGCTGCATGACAGCCCCAGATGGTCTGCAAGCAAAGAGCAGAAAAAGTTCCATAATTGATTTGCTGTTTGTTGAGATACCCTAAATGTTCAGCTTCAACTTTTACCTAATCCATCCATTCCACCTTTGTTATGTTTTTGCCCTTTAAAAAAAAAAAAAAAGGAAATCCCAACAGTGGTTGGGTTTATATGCTTAGTTGTTTAAAAAAAAAAAAGCCCAGAAACTTGGCTGAGGAAACGGCCCCTCCAGAACTTTGCTCAGTTGTTCCACTGGGAAGGCTGTTAACATCCATGCTTAGTCAAACTCTAGAAGGCTCTACCAAGGTGCTTCATCACGGTGCTGGTTCTTTTCTGAAGTAACCTTCAATATATTCTCTGGATGGCCTCCATAAGCTATTTTTAAAAGCAGAAAATCCTTCTAAGGGGAAATTTTCATATTAGATTTTAAGAGTTGCCATCATCAGAGATGTGGGAACAAAGGTGATATCAACAGACATCAGAGAGGGGAGCTCAGCCCTGTGCAACTTCTTACAATGCAGTTTTGTTTGGCTTTATGTCATGTGATCTCTTTTGACTGATTTTTCTCTGGCAGCTGTGCTGGTTTTGAAGACAAAGGCTCAGGATTCTGGAAAAGGTCTTTGTCCTGAGTAATAACCAATGTCATGAGAATCTGCTGGAATCCAAGGGTAGTGAGATATAGAAAACATCCACATTTACTTAAAGTTCCTAAACTAAAGTGGGGAAGCTTGATGATTGATGTAAACACTTACTGTGGTGATTCTTTAGAGGGAGAAAGAACTAGTGGAAGTGGAGGTGTCCTAAGCTAGATGGGCTTTTACTTACCCATGCTCTTTTAAATGGGTTATCACTGAGCACTCTGTACCAGCACTCTTTTATGTTATCAAAAACATAGAATGTGCAACTAAAGAATCAGGAAAGTAATATGGATACTTATAAACCCTCAATGAGCTCTGTTTTCGATTCTACTAATGTCTTTTTGTTCTACTCTTTAGTTGAAACTATTTACTATTTCAATGAAGATCAAAGTTGGAAGAATAACGTTTCCATGTATAAGACTTGAAATAGTTTCAGCTATTCCTGATTCATTGTCAAATGCATTGTAGCATCATCTTTTGAATGGTCAGCGGAGGCCTCTGTATTAAAGGCTTGGACTAGGGAAGCACTTCTAGAATGTGGAAAAAGTTTAAGAAAGTTAGGTCTATGGGAGGTCTTTAGGTAATTGCGGCAAAGTCTCCAATGTGATAGTGTGTACTACTGCCTTCCAATTTTTCAATATATTTGCTTTATAGTTGATAAAGTAAACATTTTTGCTTAGCCATATACTCCAGGCATGGCATACAGCATTGCCATAGGATACAAACCACAGGGCTAGCCAACCATGGACTGTCATCTCAAAAAGTTGTGATGAACATAATTATTTGCTCTTTTATAAGGAACTTTTCCTTATTTCTGCTTTCTCATAATTTTATAATTATTTAGATTTATGTCAAGAGAAGCAACAACCTAAGCCGCAATGACACAGACCCACCCCAGGGTCATTTAAAATCTGTGATTTCAGTCTCTTGGTCTGCCACAATGGACCCCTTTAATAGGGGAGGATTTCTACACAGACTCATATACCAGGATGTACCTTTAGACCCAGAAACTTGACCCACCTTCATTAATCCACAAATTAGGCAATGACATTATATTTTTTATTCCTTCCAGAATTCCTGAATGGACTAGTTGGGGAAAGATACCCTGTCAAAGTCAATAGGCAATGACTGGAAAGGTTGCCTCTTTCTTCAAATGTGCCAACACCAAAACAAGTTCAGAAGAATCATAAACGATTCTGGAACATAACATTTCCAAAGAAACAGAGCAAAACACCAATAACTAATCTAAAGAAATGGATAGCTACAAAGAATGTGACAAAACTTCAAAATATTAATTATCTTCAATAACTCAGTAAATTACATGAGAACTTAGAGAATTAAGCATAGTTGACAAAACTACACAAGAACAAAATGAAGAATTCAACCAAAAGAAATAATAAAAAGAACCCAACTGAACTTTTGGAACTGAAGAACACAACTAATCTGAAAATGCTACAGAGAACATTAACTGCCTACTAGCTCAAGTAGGAGAAAGTAGCAAGTTCAAAGACAGAGCATTTGAAATTTCCCGGCCAGAGGGAACAAAAGCATAGACAGTTTTTGCTTTGGGGTATTTTTTTTTATATTCAAACAAAGTGATGTGGTTTGGGTTTATCTTGTCCATTCTCTGTTAAGACCTAAAATCAGCCACCTCTTCAAGGAGACTTACAAGGTTTCTTCAGTTGAGAAAGTGTATTAGAAATAAAAATCTGCATTTTGTGTTTTGTGTCTGGGGTATCTCAGTTGACAGAGAAGAAGATATATTTGCCTATACATATATGTACATTTCCATTTACATTCAACTTCATAGTTGAGTTCTAGTCTAAAATTAACAAGAAATCATACTGACTACTATAAATATAACCTAATATCATATGGAGTTTACTTCCTGTGTTAGTCAATTTTCTGTAACCATAACAAAATACTGAGATAATTAACTTACAAAAAGAAAAGGGTTATTTTGGCTCACAGGCTTTGATATTTTGACATCCATGAATTAGCACTCCCATGCTTTTAGACCTCTAGCAAGTTAGCACATCATCATAGGAGAACACTTACTTCATAGGTGCATGAGAAAAAAGGGGGACAGATGTGCACTTCAGTGCATTTCTTTTAAACTTACACCAAGACCAAGCACAAAGGCTCCATAGTTCCCAGTAAGTGCCACTCCTGCATTGGGGGCTTGGAGCCTTAACAGAGGTTTTTGAAGGATACTCCAAATCCAAACTAAAGCATTCCTTCTGCTTTACTGTAAGCCACCATGCCAGCGAGAGGAAAGCCATCTGCTGTCCTTTCGTTAATTCCAGGAAATGTCTTAGTGGCTCCAGAATCCCGTCCCTGCTCTCCTGTGTGAAACACCTTCAAAATTAAGGTATGTTGTTCATAGACATTGGATTTTGCGTTAGTTTCCGCTCAATTTCAAAATCAGTTAAAACAACATCATATTTCTCCTCACAATCTTCAGTTGGGTTGTTTTTACCTACTCATAGATACCTTTAACAAATATTTATATAACCATGAGGTACTTATTATTTACTTTGTTAAACATCAAATTAATTATGAACATATGGACCCCACTTGGTCATATTGTCTTTCCCTTTTTTTTTTTTTTTTTTTTTGGTTTTTTCGAGACAGGGTTTCTCTGTGTAGCTTTGCGCCTTTCCTGGGACTAACTTGGTAGCCCAGGCTAGCCTCGAACTCACAGAGATCCTCCTGGCTCTGCCTCCCAAGTGCTGGGATTAAAGGCGTGCGCCACCACCACCCAGCTTGTCTTTCCCTTTTAACATATTGGTAAATATAAAGGATTTTGTATCTGTGTCCATGAAAGATACTAACCTGTTAATTTTGTATCTGATACATACATGGTTTAAGTATTAGAAGGTATTTGTTTCACGAAATGAACTGAGCAGTGTTCACTCTGCTAGTATTTCCTGAAGTTGTGGAGAACTGGCAATTAAATCTCATTCATTTTGTCAAATAATGGACAAAAATGTGGTTGATGGTCCATTCTAGAGAACAGAAGATCAAAGCTTGAGGTAGCATCACACAAGAACGTTTTAGTGTGCCACCCCATGGTGTACAAACCACAAGAAGGTGAGAGAGCCATAAAGGAAAATGGCACCACCGTGCCTTCATACTCAGCACTGGTAAATATAATTATAATTGTCACCTAAACACCATTCAATAGGTCCCACTCTCTGTACTATTATAATGGGAACTTAGTTTCACTGGCACACTTGGTGTAGAATATATTACAGCCACAGCAACACTGAATTCTACAGCATGCCACAGACCTGTATGGGTTGCAGTTTCACTGTCCTTTATTTATAAATATACATATTTTTAATTTGCCGTGAGACTTCATGACTTATACAAGTCAAGTCCTGTATGGCATTTAGGGCTGTGTGCCATAATTTCCAAATACATGTTCATTTTCTGATTACCTATTATTAACTTCTAGTTCAATTCTATTGTTTGAAATTTTGCAGAACGGTCTCTATTTTCTTTGTAAACGTAGTCTCCATAGTTAAGAATCTGAACTTCCTTTATGAGTGGCCATGTGTACTCAAAACCAAAATGTATCATTTGTTTTCTTTCTGTAGGGGTATTTGGCTAATAACAATTAAGTAAACTTAATTGATGATAAGTATAGCATCATATGTATTCTTGCTGCTTTTTGTTAGGAGGATTTAGCCTTGATCATAAAAAGAGTATTTAAGCCTCCAACTGTAGCAATGGCTGGCTGGATTTCTTCTGGAAGTTCGCTGCAAACTCTGGTCCGGTGTGTTGTATGCTTTGCATGTGTAGACAGATTTGGAAAGATATGTATTCTTGGATATCAAATACATATTTTAGTGTGAAATGTCCCTCTTTATCTAGTTTTCTTTTTGTAAAGTCTGTTGTGTCCTAAAGTTTATAACTGTTCAGATTTTTTTCATTTCTGTGGGTTTTTTTAAATTTAATTTTGAGAATTTCATATAGATGTACTTTGTTTATATCACTCACCTCTTCATCTTCTTTCTCCAACTCTGATGTCCCTCACACTCCTCACACACATGGTCTCTTATAAATCAAAACTGAGATCATTTTGTATTGTTCATACGTGTTTAGAGCTGACCTCTTGGAAGAAGCTAACCTTTAAGGCAGTGGTTCTCAACCTTCCTAATGCTGTGATCCCTTAGTACAGTTCCTCATGTTGTGGTGACCCCCAACCAAAGCATTATTCCTGTACTGTAATCTTGCTGCTGTGATGAGTCATAATGTTGATGATACTGTGATGAATCATAATGGCTGATTGTTTAACCCTGATAACCAATTAGTGTGCTCTTTCCTGTGGAGGGCCATCTTTCCTGCTCCCAGATTTACTCAGTTGCCTGTAGTTATTTGTGTAGGGTTGAGGCCTGTGGGCTTTCTCCCATCCACTTTGGTGTGTTTGTTGGTGTCCTCCTTTTCTAGCTCATATTTGGGTGGTATGTTGGTGAGACTTTACAGGCATAGCTTCTGACGTGACGACCTGATCCTCTAGACCTTACAACCTCTCCAGTCCCTCTCCTGCCATGTTCTCGGATCCTTAGGTGTTGGAGTGTTTTATGGATGTGTCTATTGGGAGTGAGCTCCACAACTCAGCATATTGGTTGGTGGTGATTTTCTGTAGAGGCCTCTGTCTGTTGCAAGGAGAAGTTTGTGTCATTTTTCAGGTACGATATTGCTGAGATTTCCTGGTGGTAGCTTCCCTGTCATCTGTGAGACACTATACAACGGGTGTCCTGTCCTGGTCCTTTGGCTCTGAAAATCTTTCTGCTCCCTCTTCTGTGATGTTTTGTGAACCTTAGGGACACGTACTGTATCATAGATGTACCAACTGAGGTTGAGCATCCATGGCCAATTGTCCTCTGCATTTAACTCCTTGTGGCTTTCTGTAATGATCTCTGTATCTGAAACTTCAGACTGGACTAATATTACTGTGTGACATTTTTCTCATAAAATTTAATGAGGTTTGTACTAGAATTGGATTGTTTTGTTTTGATTTGGGGATTGTGTATTTGTTTGTTTCTTTAGACAAGGTTTTGCTCTGTAGCTCTGTTTGAGTCCAAATTCATGATGCTCCTGCCCCAGTCTCTGGAGTGTTTAGATTACAGGTATGCCTCAACATATCAGGTTTGGGGCTTGTTTTTCATTCATTTTAACAGTCTGTCTTCTAATTGGTGTATCTGTACTGTTAATGTTTTCATTGATGGTTACATTAATATCTAGTCCTTTGTTATAAATTTACTTTATTATTTTTAACTTGAATACAAAGTAGTCATTTCACATTTACATGCATACTTTTTTGTTTTTATTAATGTTCCTTTTCTGCTCTTTTCCACATCCTCTTCTCTCCACTTCTTGTACCCCCCCCCTTTCTCTGCCAGTGGTCTCTTTTCTGTCTTCCTGTCACATGTATTCTAATACCCCTCCCCCTCCTTTTCCACAGGCCCTAATTTTCTCCTCTCATAACTTCCTTTCCAATTTCATGGCTTATACCCCATGCACACTAATATAACACATACAAAAATTGAAACATTGGGTGTAGTGGGTAGCTGTTCCAGCTTTGACCTGGAAGTACTACCCCCATTGAGGCTTCTGGTAACTGTCACACCTACCTATAACCTGCCCCGAGGCAGGACTGAGATGGGAGCCCTTAAGACAGGAGATCCAGATGTGCTGGCGCTCTTGGTTCCTGGTGATCCTGGATGCTGGATGGTAGACTGAGCAGAGTTCTCCAGAGAATACTGCTGGACTGCACACCTCACCTCTCGTGGATCCTGTAACCAATCCCTTTACTTACTGTAAGACGCCCCAAAATAAACTTTCCTTTTAACTACGTGGATATATATATATATATATATATATATATATATATATATATATATATGAGAGATTATGAAGTACTTCTTTCTGAGTCTGGGTCCCTTAACTTGTTATAATATTTTCCAGATCCATCCTTCCTGCAAATTTTATTTTTTCTTCATGGTTGAATAAAATTCCACTGTGAATATGTACCATATTTTCTGTATCCATTGATTTCTTGATGGACATATGGTTTGGCTCCATTTCCTGGTTACTGTAAATACTGCAGCAATAAACATAGATGTGTAAGTATCTCTTTGGCATATTGACTTAAGAGTCCTTTGGATATATGCCCAGAAGCACTATAGCTGGATCATATAGTATCTCTGTTTTTACTGTTGTGAGAAATCTTTATAATGATCTCCTTAGTGGCTACACCAATTTACACTACCACCTGCAGTGTCTCAGGGCTCCTCTTTCCCCACATTCTCATAAGCATTGTTGTTGTTTGTTTTCTTAATGAAAGTCATTCTTCCTGGGCTTAGATGGGGTCTCAAAGCAGTTTAAATTTGCATGTCTGGTGTCTAAGGTTACTGAATAGTTTTAAAGTATTTATAGATAGTTGTGTTTCTTCTTATTTTAACTGACTGTTCACATCATTAATCTGTTTGCCCAGTGGAAATTTTCTTTTTCTGGTGTTTGATTACTGAAGCTCTGTATATATTATAGGTATTTGTGGCTACTTTCAGCTACAGGTATTAGCCTCCGTCTGAAGTATACCTGGTATAGATTTTCTCTTGTGCTGTAGGCTGTCTTTTTACTCTAATAAAGGTTCCTTTGCTGTGAAGTAGCACTTTCATGTAATCCCATTTGTCAACAGTTGTGGCTCTTATCTGTAATGTTGGAGTCCTCTTTAGAAAGTCCATGTATGTGCCTATATCTTGATATATTTACCTATACTATTTTCAGCATTTGAGGTTCTTAAACTAAGGTCTTTACTACATTTTGAAATGACTTTTCTACAGTATGAAGCATGGTTCTAATTTCACTCTCTTGCGTGTGGATGTCGGTTTGCCAATACCAGTCATTGAATTGACTGTCTCCTTTATCATGGACATTTGTCACATTTTTGATAAAACATACATGGCTGTAGCTGTATTTTTTTTTTATTTCTTGGTCCTCAGTTCTGTTTGATTGGTTGACAGATCCAATTTGTTGTTTTGCCATTGCCATACTATTTTTGCCATTATGACTCTGTCGTGTAATTTGAGGTCAAGTATTGTGATACCTCCAACAGTTGCTTTCTGGTCAGTATTGCTTTGACTATTCAGTTCTTTTCTATGTCTGTATGAAATTTAGGATGGGGTTTTTGTTTTGAACAGAACATCAGTGGAATTCTGATGGTGATTGCATTAAATCTGTCAACCACTTTTTATAAATTAGCCATTTTCAGAATATGAACTCCATCTTGTTAGCATTTAGATGTTACCTGGCTGGCCCCTTGGGGTCCTAACCAGTAGGCAGGCAGTACCTTGGCCTGCTCAGGGCCCATTTGCCCCTGCTCTTTGTGTGATGACTCACTAGGCAGCTTGTGCCGTCTCTCATTATTTTTCTGCCTCATTCATAGAAAATAAGCCTACTAGCAATGTAAGCCCAACAACTCATTCCAAATGGCTGCTTAATGAGCACTCCATATCTCAGTATTTCACAGGACTTGTGCAATGTCTACCAGCGATCCAATAGGTAGAAGGGTGTAGCTAGAGTTTTTCTGGCCCTGCCTGGCTCACAGGACAAATCTCTCTCACCTACCAGTCCTGCAGCCACTCAGACCCAACCAAGTAAACACACAGAGACTTATATTACTTATAAAATGTATGGCCATGGCAGGCTTCTTGCTAACTGTTATTACATCTTAAATTAACCCATTTCTATTAATCTATCAGTTGCCACGTGCCTCATGGCTTACCGGTATCTTAACATCTGCTTCTCATCCTGGCAGCTGGCAGTGTCTCTCCTGACTCAGCCTTCCTGTTCCCAGAATTCTCTTCTCTGCTTGTCCCGCCTATACTTCCTGCCTGGCTACTGGCCAATCAGCATTTTATTTATACAGAGCGATATCCACAGCAGAAGGGAGTACCCTACCTGAGTTATGCACAGCAGAAGGGAGTACCCTACTTGAGTTATGCACTCCTGTCCCTCCCCCTTTTCTGTTCTGCTTCTCTGCCCTGTTCACTCTCCTCTCCCAGCAGTCTGGAAGACCCATGGCTTGGGCTCTGGCCTGCAGGATGCCTTCCTTATCTCCTGCTCCCTGCTTCTGTGCCTGTTAGCATCTCATGCTTTTGCTCAAAATGTCTCATTCTTCTGTTTGTCCCGTCTCTTCACTCCCTGCCTCCCCTGCTCTTTACTGCTGCCACCACAGCCTGGGGGAGGGGGCCTCTTTCCTGCCTGACTGGGCTGCTACCCTGCTTCCAGTTTCCCCTACAGCATCTTCTCCGCACTTGGTAAATGAGGCACCACTACTCACACCTGGACTGACAATGCCCTGCTGCCCACAGTGCGCTGGCCCAATATGAGCAGCATCTGCCTCCACCACCTAGGCCATAAAACAACTTTGTGGTGATGTATTGTGTCCCCCAATATACTGTGTCTCCCTCCCAATGAAATGTATCTGAGGATCAGAGGAAAAAGCCAGGCACTATATTAACATAGACTCAGGCAATGGTAGCACATACCTTTAGTCCTATCACTTGGGAGGCAGGGATCTGTCTGGATCTCTGTGAGTTCAAGTCCATACTGGGAACACAGGCAGGCATGGTGATACGTGCCTTTTATCCTAGCACTAACTATAGAGGTCCGGAGGTCTGTGCAGACAGGAAGTAACAGAGCTGGGCAGGAAGAGGCAGTGATGAAGCTGGGCTGAGAGAGCAAATGAGAGGACAGAACAGAAAGGCATATAGGTGTGGGTAGACAGGAAGTAGCTCAGTTTGGAAGCTGCAGAGTTGGTGAGGTGAGGTTAGCTGTGCCTTTTCCTATTCCTCTGATCTCCTTCAGGCTTTAACCCCAATTTCTGGCTCCGAGGTTTTTTTTTTTTTATTAATAAGACCATTTAACAAGATTAAAAGATTTAAAAGATTTGTCTACACATCTTTTATTCTTATAATTTCTTACATGCTGCTTTATATTTAAACTCTTGTTTTAGGATTTTTAAGTTGGTCAGCTGACACAGTTTCCTGGAAAAAATTTCTTTTTGTCTTTCTGTTGGAATGTACAAATGTGGCAGGCACAGTATGCTTGGTTTGTTTTTGAATGTCTGAGATTACGTGTTCCGTATGTCTTGCTAACAGTGCTCAGCTATGCTCGCTATCAGCTTG